TCTCCTCCCAGGGCAGGATCTCAGATCCCTTCCGCTTCACCACCTTCTACATCCATTTTGCTCTGGTGTTCTCTGCTCTCATCTTGTCCTGCTTCAAAGACAAACCACCGTTCTCCTCCCCAAAGAGTGTTGATCCCGTGAGTTTGCAGTGGAGGGATGGGGGTTCCACAGCTCACAAGTCAGCCCTTGCAAGCAGCCCCCAAAGTGGGAGAGATGTCACCTCCACATTCTGCACTCTGGGCTTGCAGGAGGAAGGAGTGAGGGTCCCTCCCTTTCTCGGCCCTGCTTTGAGAGGGTGGTGGGCATTCTTGATTGCACAATCCTATTCTCTTACCTTCTAGAACCCCTGCCCAGAGGCCAGCGCTGGCTTTCTCTCTCGCCTGTCTTTCTGGTGGTTTACAAAGTGAGTTGGTGGTTTCATCAGCCTTGGCCAGAGTTAGGGAAGAGATTGGAGGTGAGGGCAGGGAAGGGATCAGGCCAGAAGTTTAGGAGCCAGGTTGGCCCTCGGGCAGGTGAGGGTGGGGGAAAGTGTCTGGACTGCATGGCCTGGTCTGGCCCAGCTCTGCTTCCAGGCTACAGGCCAGCCCTGCATCTGGGACAGGCAGAGGGCGCTGGAAGGAGGCTGTAATTAGTCCTGAGCTCTTCCGTCTGGGATAAACTTGCAGCTTGTCATTTTCTTGGCTGCCCCTCAGAGTGGCTTAGGCAGGATAATTGTGTCTGTGACCTGGTGACAGCTCCTTAACCAGCTGCACTGAGGAAGCACCCAAGGCTGGAGCTGAATCCACCATGCCTTGTCCTCATGCAGGGCCCAAGCCAGCATGGGTTTCAACCCCAGGGGCTGTGGGGAGATGGGGTGAAGGAAGGGGTGGAGGAGGAAGAGAAGTCCTAGAGAATGGACCTTGAAGGGGGAGGCAGAGACCTCCAGCCTGTGGACTGTGGGAAAGGAGACACCTCCCTCGGTCACAGCACCCAAGGAAGACCCTCCTTTCTGGAGACCCCAGCTCCAGGCCACTAATTTCTGACCCTTGCGGGGTTACCTGCCCACCTTCACCCCTCCCCCACACACCCAGGATGGTCATCCTTGGCTACCGGCGTCCCCTGGAGGAGCAGGACCTCTGGTCTCTCAATGAGGAGGACAAATCCCAGACACTGGTACAGCAGTTCCTGAAGGTGTGGAGGAAGCAGGCTCCACGGTGAGCCCTCCCTGTGAGCCCACGCCCCCACTACCCAGTCCCTTCACATACCCTAGGTCTCCTGCAAAGGAGGATCCTGGGATGGTCACATCACTAGAGTGTCATCAGAGCAGGTGCTGGTGATTCCTTGGTGGCCTCAGGACCATTACATGGGAAGCTTATCCCTGGATAGCGCAGGAAAATGGCCAGCTCTTTCGTACACCTAGTAGTGTCTACTGTGAGTTCTATAGTTCCCTGGTTACAGATGGAGAGACTGAGGCATGAAGATTTAATGATGTGCCCAAGGTCCCCTAGTTAATGGTGGCAGAGCTGGACTCTGCACCCAAAACTCTGGCCCCAGACATCCTGCTTTACCCTGCCCTGCCCTGCCCTGCTTGATTTAAAGGGTAGATTCCAGGGACTTCCTCCAGGAGTGGAGGGAGCCAGCACACTCCCAGCCCAATCTGCCGCCTCTTTCTCTCTCTGGCCAACTGCCTGGTCAGGAGAGCTGGGGCTCAGAATCATCCTTCCCCAGCCACTTCTGCGCCCAGGATTGAACCCTCTTTCCTCCCACTCGGGACCTGGGGCCTTGGCGTTCAGTGCTTATGCAGCCCAGAGCTCCTGGTTGTCACTAGCTGTTAGAGGAAATCAAACACTTGGGCCCGGTTAGCAGTATCTTGGTTTCCATGACTTGAACCTCTGGGAAGACAAGTGGACCCCCAGTCTGCCTGCTGCACCCCCTCTCTATCCTTCCATGCCACACTCATCTCCTCCCTGTTCAGATGCCTACTGCTTGGGCCACTTGCCTTTCTTGCCCTATTTCCGCTTTACTCTTGATGTCCTCCCTGAGCCAGCCCTGAGAACCTAGGGGAGGGTCAGAAGCTGGGAAGAAGCTGGGATTCATAGTCCTCAGGATCACAGCCTGGCCACCTCTGCAGATGCCCTCTAGCACCTAAAGACAGAGTCACCTGGACAATTCACAGTGTCTGACCTCCCTCAGTTCCGAAAGCCAGGAAAACAGCCCCCTCCTCCTCCTCCCTCCCAGCCATCCCAGCTGGTCTTTGGCTCCTGGGACCCAGGCCCACTCCACCTACTGCTCCTTCCTCCCTGACCAGACGCAAGGCAGCGGCAGCAGCAGCATCTGGGAAGACAGCTTCAGGTGAAGACGAGGTGCTGCTGGGGGCCCAGCCCCAATCCCAGGGGCCCTCCTTCCCGTGGGCCATGCTGGCCACCTTCGGTTCCAGCTTCCTCATCAGCGCCTGCTTCAAGCTGGTCCAGGACCTGCTCTCCTTCGTCAATCCACAGCTGCTCAGGTCTGTCCCCGCTCTGTCCTGCTGCAGGCCTTCCAGAGGGCTGGGCCCAGAGGAAGGAACAACATACAGTGAAAAGAACCCAGACCAGGAATGGAAAGGGCTGGTTCTACTTTTTGTGTGTCCCTTGGCAAGTGCCACTGCCTCTCACCACAGTTTCCCCATTCACATTCAACTTACATTTGCCGGGAGCATACTGTGTGCCAGGTGCTGCAATGGACACGTTAACAGATACTCTCTCTGTAAATATTTCCAACAATCCCACATGGACTACACTGACTCCTATTTTTCAAGTGAGAAAGCAGAAACAGAAAAGTGAAGTAACTTGGCCAAGGGCACACAGCTAGTAAAGAAGGAATCAGATCTGAGTCCCAGGGCTTTCATCACCATCAGTCTCTGCCATCAGTCACTGCAGTGGCTTAGACTAGCAGGGGCTGTCAAATGAGAGAGTGGGTGCCTAGCAGCTGGGCCCCAGCCCCATGCCCCTCCAATCATGCATTCATTTGTTCTATGAACACTTGTTGAGCCTCCAGGGTACCAGAATGGTGCTAGCAACAAAGTGATACAGAGGTAAATAAAACGTGGTCTTGAGGTCTTGTGAGAGAAAGTGTAAATCAATTGGAATAAGTGGGGGCAGAGGTGTACATAGGTGTCTGGAAGTCTGGGAGAGCCAACAAAGCCAGCCTGGGACAGAGCAGGGACCACTTACCAGCTCAGGAAGTAGTCAGGTTTAGAGGGACTAGTAGGTGAATATAGGGGAAAGTTCACCCTAAGCATAGTGACAAAGGCCTAAAACAGCATGACTCAGGGATTCCAGGTGTTTCTGAGCTGGAGAAATGGTAATCAGAGGGTGGGGCAGGAAAACAAAGAGAGGCCAAGAGAGCTGAGAGCCAACAAGTACTGGCATGCTAAGGCTAGCCTTGAAAGCCAGTTTACAAGCTCTCTGGCCAGTCCAGACAGGTGGGGATGAAGAACAGGGCAGGCTAGCAGGTGGAAGTGTCAACCTGGCAGAGGCCAGGCGTGAGATCAATCTCCTTGGAAGCTATTTGGGAGACAGTTGTGTGGCTAGGAGAGGGAACGGTCAAGGGCGACCTGGGTTCTGGCCTGGGGGACTGGAGGATGATGGACCTTTTGCTGAGATGCTGGGCTCAGGAAAAGGAAGAAGAAGAGGTCAGATATGGAGCGAGGTAGCCATGTTGGGCCAGAGGTGCCAGTGGTTCCTCCGAGTGGAGATGCCCAGCTAGCCTGAGACCACATCATCAGGATCAGAGGGTGGAAGCTCACGGTCCAGAGAGCCTGTGCAGGGGGCAAGGTTAGGTAGGGCACCCCATCAGAGCCCTAGGAATTCTGACAGGCCAGGGGGAGCACAGGGCAGACTGGAGGGGCCAGAGTTGGGAAAAGAAAGAAAAGAACCTGGAATGAGGAGTAAGTGCAGAAGGCACAATATAGAGCCTGCGGAAGGCACTGAGGAGTGGTAAGTGACTTGGCCAAGAATAGAGACTGGGACGGAGTAGAAGGGCCTCAGAGCAGGGACTTCAGTATGGATGGGGCCATGGGAGTCTAGAACTTGCTGTAAAGAAAGGGGTATTCATTTCGTCGGGTCACAGTGGCAAATCACAGCAAATCACGGTGGCTTAAAACAACAGAAATTTATTCCCTCGTAGGTCTGGAGGCAAAAGCCTGAAGTCAAGGTGTCAGCAGGGTCGGCTCTTAATGGAGGCTCTGAAAGAGAATCTGTCCCATGCCTCTCTCCTAGCTTCTGGTAGTTTCTGACAACCCTTGGTGTTCCCAACTTGTGTGTATGTCTGAGATTCTCTTTCATCTTTCTCTTACGAAGACATCAGTCACTGTGTTAGGACCTTCCCTGCTCCTATAACTTGATCTTAACTTGATTATGATGGCAAAGTGTCTATTTCCAAATGAGGTCACATCCACAGGCACCAGGGTTTAGGACCTGAGCCTGTCTTTCTGGGAGACACAGCTCAACCGACAAGAGAAGGGAGGCCTGGGTATGATCGTGGCTGGAGGACTCCCCAGGTCCCAACCTATCCATAGGTGAAGGTGCAGAGCTGCCAGTAGACGTTAAGATACTGGAGACCAGGGTGATGCCCGTAGCTCAATGGGTAGGGCGCCGACCACATACACCCAGGCTGGTGAATTCACACATGGCCCGGGTCAGCTAAACAACAATGACAACACATGGATGCAACTGGAAAATGTTCTTCTTAGCAAAGTATCACAGGAATGGAAGAAAAAGTATCCAATGTACACAGCCCTTTTATGAAACTAATTTATAGCTCTCAAATGAAAGCTGCAACTTAATTCTAGACTAAGGATATGGGGAGGGGTGGGGAAGGGGAGGGGAGAAGAGTGGCAGGGTGGTGGGAGGTTGACTGGAAAGATCACCTATATGGTCTGTCTAACAAGGGTACAAGTGAACTTTTTTAGAAC